AATCTGGTCATACTTGACTTTGTAAAAGTCTCAGCATTCCTTAATTTACAAAACAAAAAGAAAATAATGAAAATCTACCTTAGAGCATTGTTGAGAGCAGTAACAAATATAAACACTTAATGACATTATGCACTGCTGTTTCTAATACTCAGTGATGCTATTGCTGACTTTATTATTTCCTGAATTGAATTTATACATCCATCATTGATAGTGATAATGGCTCAAGTCGAATAGTTTCCACTTGTGTCTGAGAGCACCTGTGGCTTAGCAAAGTGCCAGACTATTTAGAGTCCAATCTTCATCTCTAACTTCTCTATTACTGACATTACTTTTTTTTTCCTCCACTTTTGGTCTTAACTATTTGATTACCTTTTGGCCTTCTTGATCATAAGAATGTAATTTAATGTGTTCAACTCTCCAAATTCTATTAATTATGTTGAATTTAGCAATAGATATTTATTGGTTGAGTAATCATATTCAATTTATCGAGGATCAGAAACTCATTCTTTGAAGAATTTGACAGTGATATATGTCAAATGTTTTGTTCTTGCTTTCATCAAACATGACTGCAACTTTTCCCTCCGTGGTCATAACTAACAATATTATATACTCTATTCTTACACTAAAGTAAGCTAGAGAAAAGAAAATGTTATTAAAATCATAAGGAAGAGAAAATACATTTACAGTACTGTACATATTTATTGGAAAAAATCCATGTATAAGTGGACCCACACAGTTCAAAGCCATGTTGTTCAAAGGTCAATTATATTTTTTTAAGACATTTATTTCCTTTCTTAAATAATAGTCATTTAAACTAGAATCATCGGTCCCATCCTTTGTGTTTGCTTTTTGTCTTTGTTTAAATGGTTCTTGAGTCCTATTTTTTTTTTTTTCTAAAATTGTTTTTAGAATTTGGCCTTTATCTCCATTCTTCAGTTCTTTTGGACTAGACACCTTCTTCTCTTTCTGTACTCTCTAGTCAATCTGTCACACTGTTACCAGACTTATCTTTATTCTTCTAAATATGATCATATCTTCTTAAAATTGTTAGTGACCCAAAAGAAATGAAAACATATATTCATAAAGACGTAAGGAAAATTCTTAGCTGCTTTATTCATAAGAACCCCAAACTGGAGGAATCCTAAATATCCATCAGCAAATGAAGGGATAAACAAATGTGATATATCCATATAATGGATTAAAATGGAATGTAAAGGAAAGAACTATGGATGCCCACAAGATGTATCAATCTCAGAATCATTATACTGAATGAAAGAAGCTAGAAACAAAAGGATATATATTATGTGATGCTATTTATATAACATTTTAGAAAATGCAAACTAACTTATAATAACATAAAGTCGATTAGTAGTTGCCTGAAGCCAGGACAGGAGGGTTGGGCTGCAAAGAGGAACAAGGTTTGTTTTGGGTGTAATTGAAACAGTTTGTATGTTGATTATCCTGGCAGTTTCACTGGTGTATACATTTGTCAAAACTCATTAAATTGTGCTCTTTAACTGCCTGCAGTTTATTGTATGTAAATTATACCTTAGGAGAGTTGATTTTTTTTAAAAAAAGTCCTACAAGGAGGGGTTCTCAGTTGCTTTCAGGATGCAGGCCATGTTTCTGAATAGTCTGATCCCAACTTATTTCTGCCTTTTCCACTTCCTGGTGTGCTGTCAACTGCAGCCACCACCACATCGCTGACCATTCCTTATGTGCCAAGCCCCTTATATTTTTGCTTTGGCTCATATTCTTCACTTTGTCTGAATTAGATTCTCCAGAGATAGAACTTACAGGATATAGAAAGAAAATACAGATTTATAATGAGGAATTGGTTCATTTGATTACAGAAGCTATATCCTATGATCTGCCATTTGCAAACTGAGCTGAAGGCACCAGAAAGCTGGTGGTGTAGTTCCAGTCCAAACCCAAAGGCCTGAGAAACAGGAGAGCCAAAATCCCAGTCCAAGTCTAAAGGCCCAATAATCAGGAGTGCCAGTGTTTGAGGGCAGGAAAAGACGGATGTCTCAGCTCAAGCAGAGAGCAAATTTGCCCTTCTGCCTTTTTATTCTGTTCAGTCCCTCAACCAATTGGATGATGCTCATCAACATTAATTAGGACTATCTTTCTTACTCAGCTTACCAATTCAAATTCTAATATTTTCCAGAAACATCCTCACAGAAATAACATTTTCCCAGATATGTGGGCATCCGGTAGCCCAATCAAGTTGATACATAAAATTAACCATCATAGGTTCAGTAGGCTAGTGTTGAGAAGTGATAAAAAGCAGGAGGTTAACACCCAGGAATGAAGGACTGTGTCTGTCAAGTTAGGCCTTTAATCCATAGTAGTAATAGTGGTAATTGTGGTGGTGGTGGTGGTAGGGGTGGTGGTCAGTAGTAGTAATAATAGAAGTAGTAACAGTAGTAGTTATAGAAGTAATAGTAACAATGAAGAAGATTATGAAAATGACAAGAAAATATTTACTGAGTGCTTACTAGGTGCTGCACACTGTTATTTATCTGAATTATTTTACTTAATCTTTATAATAACCCTATAAAACAAGAACTATTATTATCTTCACTTTATGAATAAGGAAACTGGAACAGAGAGATTACATAACTTGTTTAAAATCATAGAGCTAGTCAGTGGGAGGAATAGATTTCTGATGGGTAGTAGTAATCAGGATTGTTGAACAAATCATTAATTAGATATATATCTAAATTATAGACTTCTGAGTGAACTCTTGGTTGTCCTACCATTAGTTCTGCCTTGCACTATGGTTATCAAGTTTCCTCAGATCAAGAGTAGGTAAGTACAAGTAGCGGGTTTACAACATTTGACCTCAACTGGTTTTTCAAAGTAATTTTGTACATTTTTCAGGAGCAAAACCAAACTGGGTCTTTAGCTTTATCTCCATTTCTTGCAAGGGAAGAGTTTTCTTCTATAATTGGACACATTTTAGTTTTCCCTTATTGAGAATTTTAACCTTCTTTTGTATTATTGCTATAATAATTTGTAATCATTTATTTTTAGTTGCCTTTTTTTTTTACTTTTCAGGTCAGATTTTTTTATATATATATACTCCCCTTATTTGTCAAAGATTCTCACATTAAAATAATTAACATTCTATATGTAGGCCTAGTTTTGAAGAACAGTCAGAATTCAGCTGAGTATATAGTTCTAGAGCTGATTTGTTAGGTATTATCAAATAGAAAATAAAAAATGGAAGTAGGAGAGGATTTCAGAGAATGCATATAGCATAAGAAGAAATAATAATTATTTTAGGGTTGTGCTGAGCATTAAATGAAAATCATAGAATGTTAGCACATTTTAAATGGATAATCAGTGCCAAGTATTACTTAAACAGTGGCTTGATTTAGTTAAGAAAAAAAATCACTTATCTTGTTTCCATGATCTATAGAGAAATACATGCACACACGCACATGCACACACACATATATAATGTTTAGTACTTTATATTTTCTTACGACAGAACTGAAATTTTGATCTTTCACTAACACTGTTCACTACTCTGATCGATGCCGTATTTGCATTTAATGAGGAACACTGTGCCTTGTCTTTTTCTAATGAATACAATGACTTTTATGAAAAGAAAATGGTTACAAAGGTTAGAGAAAGGTTATAAGAAAATGTTCTCACGAAGTTGCTGAAATAGGAAAGTAAAGGAAATAGCTCTTTTCCTGGAAACTTTATCTGCTAAAAAGAGTCATTTTATTTTGGAGAGGTTGGGCAGATATTTCTCTATCATTTTGGAGGGGAAATTTTGAATTGGCTTTGTCTCCAAAAAAAAAAGAACGATTCCTGTTGTGCATTTTTGTTTATTTATTATAGCACCATTTTAGGACACACTGGGTTATTTCAGTGTGTCTCAATGTATTAAAGTTGTTTTATGTGAAACAACTATTGTTTTTCTTTGTAGGTTTCTAAGTTTGGAAAGACCAGAGTATTAATAACAAAGTCATCTCTCTGAAGTAGTTTCTTCTGCACTTCATATGCTAGGATGGATTTTCTTTTACACCTAGTCAAAGAATTTCTGTTCAGTTTGTTATTAGTAATTACCCCCCAGTCACTTTCTTCATATCTGTTTTCTAAATAACAGTTCCCTAGTTTATACCTGTATTGTGTATTATTCTTCCCTGAGTGTATTATCTTATACTTCTTTACATTAAATCTCATCTTAGACCTGTCCTTCCAAATCCCCAAGTTGTCCATATCTATCCATGTACTTGATTGATCTTCCTTTCTTTTCTTTTTAATCCATCCTAGGTTTGTGTCATCTGTAAACTTGATTATATTGGAATTTACATTCTCTTCCATGTCATTAATGAGCACGCTGGATAGACTAGACCTCTTCCCTGTGGGACTCTGCTGGATATACTGCTGGATGTTCTCAGTTGTAATTCTGTTGATAATAATTCATTACTTCCTTTCTATCACAGAATTTGTTTTATCCTCTGTACTGTACAGTTATCCAGGCAGTGGCTCTACCATCTCTGCTTCCTGGGTGCTCCTATATTAATTATCTTTTTGTAAAATACAGATAAAAATCATTGTGTTCCCTTACCTACTTATGTCATTGCTTAATTAAAAAAAAAAAAAAAAAGTTACTCAACCTGGGAAAATATTGTCCTTAAATAGAAATTTCTCAGAAATTTCCATTGAACATCAGTGAGTCTTTAAAAATATGTTGTGAGAAAACATTTTGGAAATGCTGCCTAAATTTTTGCCTTTTCAGTGGAAAATGGTCTCTACTTATTTGAATTTCAAGTAAAAGGAATAATTATTTTCCCCACAGCTCAGAGGATGACTTAAATATATGTATTCTTTTTCCTGAATATAGATTGCATTTTCAATAAATTATTCTACTTCAAGGTGGTTTTCTAGATGAGACACAGTTCATTTATAATTTTTATAGCATGATGCAAAGTCACATGTTTATTTTTAAAGTTATATTTTTTTCCTTTGTTTTTCAGGAAAAAGAAGAAGTAGAAGGGATATCAGTAGGTGCTATACTTTCTGATTATCAGCATGTTCGAGTAGAAAACGTGTAAGAGAACATTAATTCTCTTATATTTTTAAATTACACATATTTTAAGGATATAAATAAATAAATAATATGATAGTTTTCAAATAACAAGTAGTTATGATATTCTACATGCCACATGAAATTAACTGTATGTATTTACCTAAGTAACCCAAATTGCACTTTACCTTTTTTTCTACCCTTATGCCATACATGGAGAAAACTCTTAACTTACTTACGTAAGGAAAACTAAATTACTTATAATAAAAGTTGAGGCAAAGATTTTTAAAGTCAGTCAAAAGCATTATTTTCAATTTTTCCTTATTTGAATTGGTACACCCTTTTAATCTCTTTTAGCTCATCATTTGTAACAAAAATCAGGATCTAATATAAGGAATGTAGTAACATTTCAAAGAAAAAAAAAGCTTATTAAGGAATCTTCCCTTCTTTGGTTCTTAGAATTCAGTTATTGGCCAAAAATTTTATGATCAAAAGACATTTATAAAGCCATTCAACTTCCAAAGAATTTTTAAGTTGTTGCTTCCCAATCTTTCCTACCCTCTAAGGGATGTAGCACTAGTAAAACATTGTCTGTATCTACAGATACCCAAACAGTCCATTCCATTGATCTAGTAAGAAACCATAAGGGCAAATGATAATATTGATTATTTAATATTGATTTGGCAAAACACCATGTGAATTTATTTTTTATTTTTTATTTATTTGGATAAGTAAAATATTGTATGGAGATTTTATATGCAGTTACATTAGCAAAAGATTAAATGTGCATTCCAGTATTAATGTTGAGCACAACTTATATTTATGTAATGGTTTTGTATTCTTGACAAAGAAACATTCGTATTGACTATCTCATTAAATGCCTGCATATTAATGGACGTGAAAACTTAAATTTAAATTTGTATTTATTTTCTCTAGTTCTATAGTGAATTTAAAGCAGTTAAAAATACAGAATTTTACAAGTAAATGAAGAGATTGCAAGGCAAAGCATAATTATGTGAAGTGGAATCTGATGATCTCATATTTGGGGGTATATTAGAGTCTCTGGAAAGTGGAGGTGGAAATGGGAGACATCAAATATGTATTTTGAAAAGTTTTCCTTATATTCTACCTGCCTACTTTTGAGAACAACTAATCTACAGATGGAGATGTGTTGCATGTCCCTTAAGCCATATGTTAGAAATAATATTATTCTCATTCATTTTTAGGTCATCTTCTCTACGAAATATTTAGTTTACAAATCTGTGTTTTTCAATAAGTTTAAACCCACATGATTTTATGGGTAGCCAATTGTAGATACGTCTAACATCTATTTATAAAATGCGAAAAGCCAATTGAAAATGTACCCTTGATTAGGAGGCTATATGGAAGAAGGGCCCCTAACATACTAATGGACAAGAGGCAAGAGTTTCTCAAAATCCAGTCTCAGGTACATTTCACCACATGGTTAAAATGCTTAGATTTTATACCATAAAAACATATCTATAACAATTTTATCCTTGAAAATTTTAAAGCAGTGTTAATGGGAGTCCATTGGTCTACAGACTCAGTTTTGAAATAGCCTACCTTCAATTTGTAGTTTCTGTTGCATCATTATATTTTCAAGATGTAAAGCATTTAGTAAATGTCACAATCTCAAATTCAACAGTGATTTACAGAGGAAACATATTTGAGGCGTGATATTTTGAACTGTTAAAAAATTTGAATAGGTGAAGAAGTTTGACTTAAGTCTACAAATAGTCAAGAGATCATGATATCAAAGCAACGACCAAGAATTTTGTGATAAGAACAGAAAGGAATAGTTTTTTGTTTTTAATAAAAAAAAAAAATCTTAGCTAAAAATGATAGACTAGTTTGATTAGTAGGCATTAAACATTGGTAAGAGAACAGGAACTGTAATGCATATGTTACATGTGTAGTTTGGATTTTATTATTTTAAAAGTTTTAACTGACTCATCATTGCTCTAGATGCTCTGGGATATTTTACAAATGAAAATTATATAAAACAGTCTTTGCAGTTAGGAAGGTTTTGATTTTTTAGAAAGTCAGAGTATGTGTACATGAAAAAATAGTGATATTTTTAAAACCATGGGTGAGTAAATGACTACACATGTGGTACATTTACTAAGTATTGGGGTTTTCTGAGAGAGAGAGAGAGAGAGAGAGAGAGAGAGAGAGAGATTAGTATAGGCTGGAGCAGTCAACCAGGTAACCTTACAGACATTAGGGATGATGGGTTTTAGAGCTATATTTCTTATTTGAAATCTTATCTCAGCCATTTACTGTGTGATGTGAACAAGTCACTTGGCTTTGAGGACCTTTATTGAATACCTGTTTTATACAAGCATTGTACTACATTCTTTACCTATATTACTTTTAATCAATCAATTATAGTTCTCGAGAAGTGATATTTAAACAAAAGCATGAAGCAAGTGAAGAAGGTAGGGAGCATGGCTAGTATTAGTCAAGAGTGAGCAGGACAGGAGTGATGGTTGAGTGAGGGGTGAGTAGTAGGAGATGAAGTGTGAGAGCCAACCAGGGCGAGATCCATGTAGGTCTATTATATGAACTTTTACTGGGAGTGATTGAGGCGGGGGGTGTGGGTGGGCCAGAATTTTGATCAGAGGAATCTCATGGTTCGTTTTATGTTTTGAAAGGATCACACTGGCATCTGTATTGAAAACTGATTTTAAAAGGCCAAGGATGGAAAAAGAAGTTACACATGAGAGATATTGGTGGCTCAGACCAGGGTGTTAGCAGTGGTGTTGGTAAGGAATGATCATATTCTGCATTGTGGTAGATTAGATAAGGAATGTGAAGAAAAGAAGAGTTAAGGATGACTTTACTTTTTAATCTCTAAGTCTTCTTTAGAACTTTAAAAGGAAATATATTTGTCTCACTTTATGAACTAGGAAACTCAAGACCAAGGGCTTAGTTTTAACTTGCCAGGGTGTTAGCAGTGGTGTTGGTAAGGAATGATCATATTCTGCATTGTGGTAGATTAGATAAGGAATGTGAAGAAAAGAAGAGTTAAGGATGACTTTACTTTTTAATCTCTAAGTCTTCTTTAGAACTTTAAAAGGAAATATATTTGTCTCACTTTATGAACTAGGAAACTCAAGACCAAGGGCTTAGTTTTAACTTGCCAAAATCACCTGGCTATTGAGTGAAGAAGTAGGTTTCAAACCCAGATTTATTTTACTCCAAAAATTATGTTCTTTCCTATTGCACCATGATATAAAATATGTAGTACAATACCTGCAGCATATTAGGTGCTCAACATTGTACTTTTGTTCTATTATTTTCTTTTCATTGAGTCAATTTTTTTTTTTAATTCGGTTAGTAGATATGAATAGTTCATGTAACCATAGGCATTATAAATTTAATCAACATATGATTTTATTAGGCTAAATTTATTTGCCCATTTTGCACATGCTTCACAATTTTGATATCCAGAGAAATTCTAAAAACAAGAATAATCATCCATTGGCATTTGGAGGTGTTTTTGCATAGATTTCTAAACTTGTAGAGTCTTACTAAAATTAATACTTCTAATCTGCCTGTGGAAATTAAATATGTTTATGTTGTATACATAAACTTCATTATGCAAAACAAGTTTTTAAAAGCATTTTAAATGCTACAATCCTTGAGAGAAGCATTATGTTTAAAATCAAAGTAATTGCTATGGATCCAAGTGTAGAACATTAAGATATGATCTGATTTTTTTCTTTTTATTATGTAGGTGTAAAAGGCTTGATCTTCAGCCTTTAGCTTACCTTTGGCAGAGAAACCAAGAAGATTTGCTCCGAGAGATGATATCATCTAACATTCAAGCAATCATCATCAAAGTAGCAGCTTTGGGTATGTAGCCACACCTTTAAGGAGCTGCCTCTTACCACACAGATAATCTGAGTTCACTAATAAGCAGTTACAACAAAAAAGGAAAAATGATTTAGAATATAAAAATGTGAAGTCACAAGCTGAAGAAATTGAGTAAAGGGAAATTTTAAAATAGGCTTTTGACCATTTACAAAAGTAATTATTAGTGAGCTTCACTGTTTTTTTGTTGTTGTTGTTTTTTTAATATATAACTGCCTCTAAAATGGATATTGTATTACAGTCATTTCAGTTCTTTTTATGGGATTTAGAATTTAAGTTCATGTCATTAGTGGCACATAACTGTATAAATAGTGTTGCTATGAACATATGGGTCATCTTATATGTTTTCTGCCGCAGACCTAGATCCCATTTCTTCAAGATGCCTACATTCCTTTTAATGGGAAATTGTGTGTGTGAGTGTGTGTGTGTGTGTGTGTGTGTGTGTGTGTGCGCGCGCGCGTGTACATGTGTATCTAATACCTCATGAATTCATGATATTTTGAAATCAAATTCAGGACTATGTAAGAACTATAATAATTCCATATTCCACCTGTGCTTTATTTCACAATGAAAATTCTTGATTCTCAAGTATACATAATATGTTATTTATTAAAACATCTCATAATTACTAGGAACAAGAAGACCAAGTAGCTGGTCTACAATACATTCTTTCCAGTAACTGGGATAAGTTTTCTGAAAACAAAGAAAGAAGAACCCCTATATAATCTTATAAACATTAACTACAGACTTCTTGTCATACACAAACAAATGAAGTTACTAATGGTATTTACCATCTGAGAAGAGTCCTTATCTTTTGACTGTCCTTAGCAGGATGTAACTAGTTGCTATGATTGATTTTGGTAAACAAACCTGGAAATTTTAGGTTTGGGACATGGCTCCCTAGAACTTATCATGTAAGATATGTAACTATCTGAATACAAAATTGACATTTTTTATAACTGAGATATCTTATCTTCTGTATAAGAGATATAAACTACATGCATTGCTTAGAGACTTTACTTGTTAACCTGGGTCAGAGCTGATATAATATATCTAGAAAACACCTGGAGGGTGACACAGATGGTTTAGGTCCCCTCCCTCCTTCACCAGGGTCTTTGATTGCCTATATCTTTAAAATTATTAGTAAAGCTTGATACTAGGTAAAGTGTCTCTAGTTTATATGAGTCTGATTTGATGATCCAATCTTTTGTTATTGTAAACAGGACTAGTCAATGGGATTTTTTTTTCCAGACCCATAGCCATAGAAGATACTTTTAGGCAAGAAAGAAGAGAGGGTAGAAAATCATCATGAGGACTCAGCTATTGTTCATAGCCCTGGTAATAATAACAGGATCCTTTAAAATAACCAAAAAAAAAAAGAGATGATAGTTGGAGAAAATAAAAACAGGAGATGGTATTTATCCATCTCAGGAAAGCCTTCTTCTTCTTGAAAGTTATATTTGCTTACTAGAATCACCATACAGGTAGAGGGAGACCAAGGTCAGGTGACTACTGAATGCTAAGTATTCTGTTTACGAGTTAGAGCTCTTTATAAAAAATACCAGCAAAAGCCGAGGGAATAATTATTGTTGTGGATTATTATAATTAATGATCAGGGAGCCACGTCACTGTTCTAGACATTGTTGAATGTAAAGGATTATTTAGGATGAGCAGATGAATGATATGAGAGTCTATTCTGTGTGCTTCTAAATAGTATGACAGCTAATCTGCTAGAGTGGGTTAAGACTGGAATTTGGCAGTCTTAACCTGAGAGGAGTAAGTGCCTCACTCCTTTCCCAAACTGCGAATGGAGTATTTCTTTTAAAGTAATAACAGAAATGGTCCAAGTGCAAGTAACTCTGTATAGGCTTTATGATGACCTGTGGAAGACATATAATTTGATGTCATGGGCACAAATGATGACATGATGGGAGTAGGTCACAAAACTTTTGCTTTTGGGAAGCTAAAAGAATATTCAGGGAGGCAGTAACAGATCTGCTGGTTTAGTTACCATGCATAGAGCTGCATGGTTGAAAAAGTTCTAAACCATCCAAAAGAAAGGCGGCACAAGAGAGAAAAATGAAAAGATGGAAATAGAACAGATAACTGGCTCAACTGGGTGAATTTGTTTAGATGGCTTCTTAAAAATGAGATGATACAATAGGAAATTGATGGAATTTCCACTAAGGATTTAAATAAAGCACTATTATGTTTTAGGAGATGGGAGACGCATTCTGGCACCATCTTTTAAAATGCTTCGGTAAATTCACTCTATCCTAATCTGGAAGAGTTCAGGCCAATTATGAGGACCATCATTTAGAATGGAAAATAATTAAACAGGGGAATGAATTTATTCTCTTAGTTAAGCTATAGACTCTGAGAAAAGAAAAAAAAAAAAAAACTGAAAGGCCAGATCTCTTTGCCCAATTCCCAGAAAAGAATCTTAGGCCATATGCACTCATGGAGGTGGAATGCAGACCTTAGAATTGTTAGATACTGGGCTAAATGAACAGCAATTCCTATTGAAGATAGGGATTGTATACTGAAAAGGTCAAAGGTAATACTTGTAGTGTATAGAGATGCTCTAGTGAAGAAAACCAAAGTAGGACTAAGGTTAAGAATTAAGGAGAGGGTGACATCATCATGCCAAGTGATAGGATCCCTTTGTCTCTCCCTTTCAATCTACAACTAGTGGGACATTTATGACCCAACAAAGTTTCCTCTGCTCAACACACTGTGATGCCTGAGAGATCCAGAATGGGGGGAATGACAGGGATGGTGCTTATGACTTTGGTTCCTCAAATGTCACAGCTAAGAACACAGCCCCAACGAGTGTAGTAGCAGTGAAGGAGATGGTATCCATGACTCCAGACCCTCTACGGCCCTAGCAAAGGAAAAGAAGAGCAACAGTGGTATCGGCTTCCTCCCCTGACTGCAGCAGTGCCCACAGCAGAGAGTCCCATAGCAGCAACAGAGATAGTGCAAGTGATTACAACCTGTTGGACACAACAGTTCCAGCAGCCATAGAAAAACAGGTAGCACTAGCAGCCGTGCTAACGAACCCACCTCTTCCCCCACCTACCCCCCATGCCCTGCCATGACAGTGGTCCCCGAAGACCCAAGAGACTTGGACACATTGGGGTCACCCATTATCTCAGGGACCCTGGTGTTGACACTCATGACCACGGTGACACCCACCACTGCAAGGACAATGGTAGCAGCGAGGCATTAGCACCCCCAGAGGCACAAGCAGCACAGTTAAGAGAAACCAAAAACTTGCACTACAGAGTCACCTACTAGAAAATGAAAGGTCTCTAATTACCAACCTGATAAATTATTAAGATCAAGTGATACCTAAATAAGAAGATATTTGTTACTTCAAGCGAGCCAGCAGAGCGACCACCATTTAAGCACAATAAACAACCATGGTAACACAGTACCACAAAAAGAAAATGATAAATCTTCAGAAACCAAACTCAAAGCCATAGAAGATTCAGATCTAAATGATAGAGGATTCAAAATAGCTCTCATGAAGGAACTCATTGAGATAGAAGAAAACTCAAAGGCAGTTCGATGAGCTCAGGAATAAAATGAATGAACAAAAGGAGTACTTTACAAAAGAGATTGAAACTATGAGAAAGAACCAAACAGAAATTCTGGAGCTAAAGAACTGAATAAATGAGATGAAGAATGCATTGGAAATCACTGGAAATAGAGCAGACCATATGGAAGAAAAACTTCTTGAGCTGAAGATAGAAATCTAGAAATGATTCAGGTGGAAGAGGAGAGAGAACTAAGATTTTAAAAAATTAAAGAACTCTGTGAGAATTACTGTCTCCATTAGAAAAGGCAATGTAATAATAATAGGTATCTCAAAAGAAGAGAAGAAGGGAATAGAGCCAATTTAAAAAAATAATTAATGAGAGTTTTCCAAACTTAGAGAAGGAACTGGACATACAAGAGGCTAACAAAACAGCTGATTACCTCAACACAAAAAGACTTTCTGCAAGACACGTTATATTATAGCTGTCAAAAGTTAATAATAAAGAAAGAATTCTCAAGGCAGCCAAGGAAAAAGACAGTAACCTACAAAGGTAACTCCATCAGGTTATTGTATTTAGCAGAAATTCTGCAAGCCAGGGGAGAGTGGAATGACATACTCAAAATCTTGAAAGATAGTAACCATCAGCCAAGAATACTGTATCCGACAAAGTTATCCCTTACATATTAACCAGAACTAAAAGGTTTCCCAGACAAATAAAAGCTGAGAGAATTTACCATCACAAAACCTGCATTACAAGAAATATTGAAAAGTGCTCTTCTGAAACAAAAAGACAAAAGTATACAAACCTTTGAGTATGGTAACAAACAAACAAGCAGAAAATTGTAACTGTTCCAGAATGGGATGCTAAATATTTAATTATAACATAAAGGTTAAAAGGTAAAAAGCTTAAAAATAACTCTAACAGCTTCAATTTGGTAATGAACACAACATAAAAAGGAATAATATGTGACAACAAAAACATAAAGGAAAAGGATGAAAGGAACTGAACTTCTATAGGTAAAAGAAAACAAGATGCTATCACAAGAAAAAGTACTATTTTATCTATGATACATTTTATGCAACCTCATGGTAACCACAAAACAAAAATTCAGAACTGAGACACAGAATATAAAAGAAAAAAAAAAACAAAAAACAAGAAAACAGAGAAAAAAATCAAATTATAGAAGCCACCAAACTAAAGTAGCAGACAGAACACAAGGGAAGAGAAACAATGGACATCTATAACAATGAGAAAATGAAAGATCAAATGGCAGTAGTAAGTCCTCATATATCAACAATCACCTTAAATATAAACAGACTGAATTCACCAATCAAAAGGCACAGAGTAGTGGGATAGATTTAAAAACAAGACCCATCTATATGCTGCCTTCAAGAGACCTATTTTAGCTCCAGTGACAAACATAGATTCAAAGTAAAG